TGAACTCAAAGGGCGGATGCCAGACCTGGTTGACCCACCTGGCAACCTCCCACAGCGTCGACGTACCAGACTTGAAGGACGTAATCACATGGGAGGAACTGACACGACTGTGGAAGAAGCGGTTCATCGTCGACGACGCGCCGACACTGGCCATCAACTGACTGTTCACCATGTCACAGGGCAACACAACAACACGGGACTGGCTCACGGAGTGGCAGAAGATTGCGGCTGTGCCCAATCTGAACTTACCATTCGAGCATCTACGCCGTGAGTTCTACAACAGGTCCTGTGCTGCATTGAGCCAGGCTCTTGGTGATCGCGAGCAGTACTCAACCTTCGCGGAGATCATTGACAAAGCAAGGGAGATCATCAAGACCAACAGGTCAGCTGCACACGAGAAATCAACATCATGGCAGCCGACCTATGTGGAGAAGGTACGAACTGGACTGCAGCACTTCGCTGCAGTCCAGCAGGACAGTGGAGATAACCCAGCAGCCACTCCAGCATCAAGTGACGGAGATCAGGTGGCTGCTGTCAGCCGCGAAGCACCAACAAGTCCCGCAACAATGGGAAGGCGAAATCCGCATCGCAGGCCGGAAATGGACAGCCAGGACAGTTTGCATGGGTCAAGTTTGGCTTGATCGAGGCGGAGTACAAGGTTCGCGGCCGCTACGACAGCTGGTATTGGTGCAACAGCACCAAGCACAAGACCTCCCTGTGCCAAGATCAGGGCGAGGAGGATGTGCGACCCCGCCTCAGCTCGGGAAACTGAGCTCCGCGGAAGGTGAGGCGACTCCACCTTCCACTCCGCCAGATTTGGCCGCCTTGCTAGCGGCCTCCTGCACATCTGAGAAGGATGCGAATGTCGCAAGTCCTCGGTATACTTACGAGAATTATGCTGTCAACTTGGTTCCACCGCTGCACCAACCGCTCCACGTGCAACAGTCCACCGCATGCACGGTTTCATCACCATCGGCAACTGATTCGGCAGCTTCGCCGCAATCTATCGCCGGGGATTCGACGTCATGGTCAAGACTTGATGAGATCGACCTGTTGACGTTCACGGACTTCCAGTGGATGCCCGTTCCCTCGACCGGACGATTGCCGAAACCGCATTGCAATGTGCTCATGGCACAATTGCGGGACTACTTGCACACTGCAGTACCAGCTCCGTTGATGGACGCCGGAGCAGAGGTTGTCGACCTTCTCTCGTACATCACGAAGATCGACCGCGAGTTCAAGACGCAACGGTACGACGACATCGACACACCATTGCTATACGTACGCATGCAGATCGGAGAGGCGACCTGCAGTGCCTTGATCGATTGCGGAGCATCTCGCAACTACATCAGCCAGGACTTCATGGTACGCGCCGGCCTTGACCCACGTGTCCAGAGGAAGTCCCAGCCTACGCAAGTCACCCTCACAGACGGTCATACGCACAAGTCCATCGACCGGTGCATTGACGCCGTCCCAGTGTACTTTGCCCCTCACGCAAGTGAGGCGGTGTCCTTTGACATTCTGGACGCCAAATTCGACATGATCTTGGGCATGTCATGGCTGCGAAGCAAGGATCACCCGGTGAACTTCTTCAACCGCACCGTTCACGTTCGTGACCGGAACGGAGTATTAGTTCCATGCACGGTGCCTCTTCCTCATCCTTCGATCAGCTGCCACGTGGTATTTGCCGCAAGCATGCGAGCTTCCATCATCAGAGACGACATCGAGGAGATGGGGGGGTGTTTTCTCCACGCCCTCCCGCCCCATGACGCTTCATCGACAGACTCACCTTCGGATCCACGCATCACCGAGCTTCTTGACGCCTACAGCGACGTGTTCGAAGGACCGCACGGAGTAGTACCGAACCGACCCATCCGCCACGAGATCATCCTCGTGGACGGGGCCGTACCTCCGCGCGGTTACATCTACCGAATAAGCGAGGAAGAGTTAAGTGTGCTTCGGGCACAACTCGACGACCTTCTAGAGAAAGGCTGGATTCGGCCTAGCTCATCGCCGTACGGTGCTCCTGTTCTCTTCGTYCGGAAGAAGAACAAGGACCTGCGGTTGTGCATCGATTATCGCAAGCTCAACGCGCAGACGATCAGGAACGCCGGCCCTCTCCCATGCATCGACGACCTTCTCGAGTGATTGGGCGGCGCCCAGTTCTTCTCTAAGGTGGATCTCAAGTCAGGGTACCACCAACTCGAGATTCACAAGGAGGATCGCTACAAGACTGCGTTCAAGACACGGTATGGGCATTTCGAATGGCTGGTCATGCCATTTGGCCTTACGAATGCCCCAGCCACTTTCCAAGCGGCTATGACGACGGAGTTCCGGCACATGCTGGATCATTTCGTACTTATCTACCTCGACGACATTCTGGTTTACAACCGGAATCTGGACGAGCATGTGGAACACCTGCGCACCGTTTTGGAGCGGCTACGACAGGCCAAGTACAAAGCAAACCGCGACAAGTGCGAGTTCGCACAGCAGGAGCTGGAGTACTTGGGACACTATGTGACGCCGCAAGGCATCCGTCCGCTTGCGGAC